AGAGAGAGAGAGAGAGAGAGAGAGAGAGAGAGAGAGAGAGAATTATAACTTTAATTTTTAAACTAATTGTGTGATATAAAAATAAACACTATACTAATATTATTCATATTCTTAAGGGTTCACTACATGTGAGATTATTTACACATTAGATGTATTTGTGACTAATCATTAATATAAGTTTATAAATGTGTAAATTTTTGCCCATATTTTGTTCTTTTATACAATAAGCATAGTCTATAGACTTATTGATTAAAACATTAAGCTAAATCTATTATAATTATTTTATTAAAGCATTGTATTTATTTAGGGAATAGAAGTAACTTAAAAAGTACAAGTTTATAAGGGAATTTTTATTAAATAACGTGGTGGCAAAAATTAAATCCACTAAATTAAAATTTAAATAACTTTTAAATAATTAATCCAATTTGGTTAAAATTTAAATCACATAGAATTGATTATATGTAAGTTAATATACAAATGTCAAATTAAAGTTATTGACAATATTTGACCAGATATTTGCGGTTGTTTGCGGACACTCGCGACTGTACTGTTGACAGCAGTAACATGGGTTTCAAATCATGTCATTAAAATTAGATGACTTCATATTTTACGACAAAAATTGATATCAATTTGTAGATCATATATCAGGGTTTATTTTGGTGAAAAAATTATATAAATCATTTGAGTGATAGTGGAGTTATGATAGAAATAGCGTAGTCAGTCCGGCCATAGAGTTACATTGTTTTTCAAAAGTGAGCGAAAAGCAATGTTTCACGCATTGAACGCCACGTTAATGCTGTCAACAGTACAGTCGCGAGTGTCCGCAAACAACCGCAAATATCTGGTCAAATACTGTCAATAACTTTAATTTGACATTTGTATATCAACTTACATATAATCAACTCTATGTGATTTAAATTTTAACCAAATTGGATTAATTATTTAAAAGTTATTCAAATTTTAATTTAGTGGATTTAATTTTTGCCACCACGTTATTAAACTAATATATTTTTACTATATTTACAAATAAATTCGGCAGTTATTCGATGAACGAGAGTCAACACAAATGACAGCTAAAACAGGAAATCGATTGGTCGGCGAGTTGTGGCTTATATTGGGCGTCGATCCCAACACCACGCCCGACGGTCTGACTCTGGGCGAGATAGGGCTCGAGTCGCTGTTTGCCATACAATTGCAGCGCGAATTCAAGGATAAGCTCGATATCAATGTACCGCTTGCTCACATCAAAGGGTTGACAGTCGGCATGTTTCGCTCATACGGTGAGGACAACCCGGAGCCCATACGTGAGTACTTAATCGCTCGTAAAAGTGGCCACTCGTCAATACTGCGGAACCAGTTTGTGATGCCGACAGAGAAATACTTGCGCTTAAATGAAGTGACCGGTGGCGGACGCCGGGCGCCCGTCTTTTTTATGCCGCCTCTTACCATGAGCTTTGCGGCGTTCGGCGACCTGTGCCGCCGCCTGGACCGGCCCGCGATCGGCCTCAACTGGACCCGCGAGACCAGCCAATTAACGTCGGTTAACTCGCTGGCCGAGCATTACCGTACGCTAATGGAGACACTGTCCGGCGGCGGACGGTACGATATAGTGGGCTATTTGGACACAATTCCCGTATGCGTGGAGATTATGATGAGAGCGGCCGGCGGTGGCGGCGCCGGCAAAGTGGTGGTCGTCGACGCGAACGCCGCCGACGAGCATCTGTTTAATGACCAAATATGCGACAATCTTATGATCGAGTTCATGTTGAAACAGTTGTCAATAGACGCGCCCACGGCGTTGATGGACTGTATTTTAAGCCGAGTGCGCGCCGAACCTCAACTCAAGGCCAAACTGGCGGTTATAATGGCGCACATGCCTGAGCTGACACATAAACAGCTGGTGGCGCCCGATATGGAGAAAGTGTTAGGCATAATGTTAGCCCGGATTCGCACGCTTTTCGAAAATAAACACCGAAAACGTCGAAATATATCGCAAACATTGCGCGCATCAGTGGCCGCGAAATGGGCCAAAATTAGTGGCAAATTGATTATCATTAAGCCGTCACACGCGGGCTGTTTGCCTAATATGGACGACACCGTTGAGTTAGCGTTGGGCTTAAACGCACCTGAATCTCAACAATACGTAAGCAAACAATGTTTATTACAAAATATTTGGTTTTGTATACTTTTTGCGTTTTATTGTAATATTTTATTTTACAAAATTATTTGTCTAGTTAATAATTTTATATAACTCTCACCAGGCAACAACTGGAACTATTAGCGTGGAAAATGTTGAACAATCCGGCTCTATGGCCACAATTACTAAAATTATTCTCGCCAAGATCTACAATGCAATTAAATAGCAATATAATCATTTGAAATAAAATTTTCGAAAAATTGGTTTGATGTTAATTTTTATAACAAATAATTAATTGATTTATTAATAATGTGAGGATTATATCTGTATTTTTGGTGTAATGATATAATATTATTTATAAATTGTTGGAAAAATTATGGACTTTAAATAATGATATCTAAATTCTAATTGGCACGGTTAGTGCCGTTTAATATTGAAAATATATATTTTTATATAAATATTTCTACTTAATTTTTTTGTTGATTTAATATAAACTACTAATATTATAAACTTTATAAACTATTATTAATTTTATAATCTTATCTTGATACTTGAATAATTAAATTGCATAATCCGTTTTTAAAGTTTTTATAAATGATTACATGTTTTAAACAACAAGTAATATAATGCAAATAAAATTAATTTCGAAACAATTGTTTACATTTTATAATTAATAACTAGCAATCAATTGTACAGCAAATACTATAGACACAGTGATTGGTAGAGGGCATTGTGTCACATAATTAAAAATTCTTATGTTATAAAGGTTATAATACACTTTCAATCGAGTATTCCCAAAGTTTTAGTTATTGGGAATATGGAAATAATGAAACAACACAAACGTTGGGAATATAAACAGAAAATGGATTTGTAGGATATATGTCATACGCTACACACTATAAACCCTCTCCCATAGCACTCCCATATTAAACCTCATTCTACCTCTATATTTGAAAGAGATTTGATTATTTTAATTTATTTGTACGCTTTTAACGTTTACTTATTAACCACTATTCTGATATGAATAATGTTGTTTATAGGATCGTTCGGCTATCATCTCACCTGACCCCATCCCCCCGCTCTATGGGAAATAACATGGGATTACAGCTTAAGTCTATGGCTATACTTTAACATGGGAAAGCTCTCATAGGATTAACATGGGAACGCTTTAACATGGGTTTCTATGGGAGTAAAGCTTAAGTCTATGGCATAGGAATAACACGGGTAATGCTAAGTGTATGGCATAGGGATAACATGGGTAATGCTAAGTCTACGGCAATGATAAGTCTATGGGTAATGCTAAGTCACCGGGAGGTACGACAATACACGGTCTGCACGCACTGACCGCCGGTGGCTTTGACTCGGCTGTGATGGCGGCCGTAGAGGCGGCCACTAAACGCTCGCAGGAGTTGTCCGGACCCTGACTTCCAGGAGCTGTGTTTGCGCTACAAATCTATTGTGTGTTTTATATTATTTGAGATTTTTATTTAGGGTATAATTCAATGATCTGTTGGTTTATTTTGTTTTGTGTATAAATTTGTTATATTTTTGATATGATTTTTATTGAAATAATTTAATTTTGACGAAATTATGCAATTGAATATCTCATTATAAATTATAATAATTTATAATAAATAAATACATTTTAACATATTGTTGTGTGGTGAGCTCTTACCCGAGCTACACTCCACATAACTATGTCATGAGAGGAGGTCTTACCGGGCCTCTCATCTCACAACTGCTTACTTCGATCTCATTTGTTGCAATTGTTAGTCCAATATGTTAGTATATGTTATGGGCGATTGCCCGAATCGTTTTATTTATTAGTAAACTTATATGAACTGTTGTCCTAACAATTGTGCAATGAATGTCTACAGCCTGTATTACTTATACTGTAGTTCCCGAGCGGTGGAACCATTGTATAATTATTGTACAAATCATTCACTAAGATTACATGGTAAGAGTGCCCGAGTGGCGGGACTATACCTTAGAATCAATGCGAAATGTAGACTCAATGTCTACACATGTCTACGACAAGGGGCTAACATTGTGTGTGAGGGGCTAGAGTCCTCACACAAATTAATTCTCTATGAGTGTTCCTAAGAGTGAGAGTCTTACGTCAGAGCCTACGCTATGTGTGAAGTCCAGCAACACACATGTATACATAAGGTGCTAACATGGGAGTGTGTGCATTGAGAGTGCATACACATGTGACTACTCTATGGGAGTTTCCGAGAGTTA